TGGTAGACTGTTAGGAGGACTGTGTGACCTTTAATGGTAAGATTGAAGCTAAGTTTGGTTAATGTGTGTACCAAGCCCTTTTTACACATGCTCTCTGGACAAAGTCAGGTAAGGATATTTCCAAAGCCGGGGCAAAGGCATGTTTCTCTACTCGGTTGCATTAATTCTTCTTTTTACAACACTTTTTAAGTGTTTGGGAAATGAGGAGCCCAGCTGCGGTACATTTAAAAACAAAAATGTTTCCTCATTCTGAGTGAGGTTGTACATCATCTTTATGCAATACTTAAGGCCTTCCCTGAAAGAGATATATGGATGGCATTAATGGTACCGTCATAGATGTGCAACTTACCCAGGCTATATGCACTAACTGATTCCTATGCTGTTACAGACTCTGGCTTTTGAACTGTGGCCTCTCCTATTTAGCCTTGGGAAAAATAATGACAGATTAAAAAAACAAAAGAAAAAAAACAAAACAAAAAAAAAGAATACTTTGGTTATTAAAATCACAGGATAGTTTTAAACTTTGGTCCGTCCTTTATAAATGAAGTCAGTCCCAGAGAAGATCTTATTTTATTTTTTCACATTTTTTTTATTGTTCTTTGTCTTGACATTGTCCTGTGTTTTATTCTATTGTTAAGTGTTGGGTGTCTTAAAAGATGCTTTTAAATAAAATGTATTGTTATTATTGTTTTCTTTTGCGTGGTAGAATTTTGACTTCAGATGTACTGACACATATGGAAAAGAAATAGTAAAAACTTATATGATTTACTCATGAAAGTGGCCACTTTCTCATTACTTTCATATATTGTTTTAGTAATTATACAAAACATACAAGTTTCATTTATATATTTTTCAAGGGATCTTATATCTGTTTTCACTGTTGTATGCTTTTCATACAAGTTTCACACAAGACAGATACAAACTTTACAAGATTTATATATATATTTTCCATATGGGGATGAATCATGTTTAGTTATACTGATAGTGGTTGTCAGAAGTATTCCCAAGCCTATGCAGTCATTTCCAGAGTCATATGCGCCACCAGTGCAGTGCTACCTGACGACCTGAGATCACAGAGATTTCATCCTTGTGTTTGATCTTGTCCATTGCATATAGATTTTTTTTTTTATTATATCAAGTAGAATCCCAAAGTGACATTGAAGAAAAGAAAACTCTATTCAGAAGACCCAACAGTGGTAGTGTCCCTGCATTTTAAAATGAGAAACACTATTCCTGTCAGCTGGTCACTGCTTTCTGTGGTTTAGTACCAAAACTCACATCAAATTCTTGTGCATCCTTATTATCTAAATTGCATTCCTCTTTTCTTAAAGCTAACAATTTATGCCTAGTATTTTTTTGTTTATTGTTATTCAATAGACATAATTTAGCTCCCATAAGGATAGAAGCACAGTCGTGCTTGGGCACACTCAGTCACACATACACACTAGAGATCAATATAGCCCCAGAGCAGTGCTGAGTACTCGATCTAACCCACACAATCATCTGTAATCTCTGACATCAAATCCTGCCGAGATACACTGGAGAGCTGACAACAAGCCTTCATCAACAAGCCTTCATCTGCTCAACGCATTTAATAGCCACCCCCACTTTTTACACAGACAATCAAATTGCTGCCAGGTAGAAATGCTAAAAAACAATCGTGATCAAAGACGAAAACCACCATAAGAAAAATGATACAAAAGTTATTTTTGATTTGCTCAAAGATAGAGTGTATGCAAAAGTATGTAATGTTGTTTTTGTGGACTTTATTTTATTCTCTTCCAACAGAACCATTCATTCCCTTAGCCTAAATAGATACTGGTGGTCCTCCAAACTACTATTGGAAAACAGACTGTTACTCATGATCCTACTCTTGCTTAACTCAATGTTCTTGCCTGCTTAGTATGCACAGAAGCATGCAATTTGATTTAATTTTTTTTGGCTGAATGTGTTGGTTGTTATATATTTTGAAGCAGAAAAAAACCCCCAACAACACGACGGGGGCTTTCCTCTGGCTATTTTCTTTTCACGCAAGGAGGTTACACTTATCCATTCTTGTATTTGATCCCTCCCTCTCTTCCTTTTCTTTGAATGTGAGAGGATTATCCAAGTTTCTCTATCTCACCTGAATAGACTGAATTCATTTTGTGTTTTTTTAAAAAAAATTGTCCATGTGTACCTAAGCATGAGGGAACTTAAGTAAAAGGTGTTTGAGCGTGGGACAAGCCCAGACCCAGGCCTGCTGAATAACATGCATCTTGCCTTCGGGGCTGGATACAGCAAAGATCTACATGACGTCACACTCAGCTGAGGACAAAAGCCCACTGCTTTCTCCCAGACAGAATAGTGGGGGGTGGCTGTCAGAGCAATGCATGGACAAGCAAGAGAAGAAGAATAATGAGCCGCAGCTGTATTTGGTGCTGCAGTGTGTGCTGCATGTGTGTGCAAAAATCTGTAGTTTCCATACATGTAAGACAGCTGCTGTTTTCCCATATGCACGTGTTCTTTATAGATGATGCAGTGTGAGACTGCACACACATGCCTAATGTGTATGTCATTGCCTTCATGCTCTGCTTGTCAGGACAATGAGAGATGGTGCACTGCAGCTAGCATATTAACAGTGCAATATAGGACTCATTGATTTGTTACATTTATATATTTATTTATTTATTTGCATATGCATGTGACAAAGGTTCTGTGCCATCATCAATACTCTTCAATGCATGATGCAATGCAACTCCCAAATGCAATCCAAGGGAACAATACACCGACTGCAATCACTTATATGCCCTCTTCTATTAGCTGTACAATGTTCATCATCACTCCACCCGCTGAGCTATAGTCACAATCTCACAGATATACCGCTGCTGGTTGATCTTTCCTTCTTGCCTGGCCTATATATGCACAATCCCAGGAGCACAGTGTGCAGTTACAATAATTAAAAAAATAAAAACCGTTTTATCTTATAATCATTTTAATGCCACGCACACTATTAATTTTGATTTATGCATTGGGATTTCACTGGGAAATTCTAGCACTTTGTCCCCAACCAATGCAGACTGTGCACACATAAAGAAAGTGTGAGGAAGGCAGACAAAGCAGGGGAACGCCCCCTACATCATGCAAGCTACTGTCAGGTCATCAGCTGGCTCAGGCTGGATTTCGCTCATTCTTCTGCCAGACTCACAATTATGATAAGGAATCTCTATGCATGATCACAATGAAAAGGATGTAACTTAACCCATTTCAACACACCCCTACGTTTAAAGTACACACAATGCAGAAGATTAAAGGGAAGGCAACCAGCCACATTTCAAGATTTCGAAGTCTACTCACCTCACGAAAAATATAGACTCAGATCATCAACCACAGCCAGGCAGTCTGAAGTGACGTCCGTTTAGTCTGGGAGTTTGGCCTTTCTGCTGTCTGTCTGCCGTGTTGACTGCTGCGTTGTCGGTTTCTAGGTAGCTGATGTTATGGGCCGAAAATCGACTTCGAAGCTAAAAGGCGTTAGCAACATTAACCGTATATCAAATAGGTAAAATATTCGGACAGTCTTGATCTCGTCCTCTCACTCTATAGTCCAAATAGTTTGTTAGCTAACAAAGCTACCTCCCTTCCTCTCTGTGCCAGTCTTTTTCGTGCACTCCCAGCTGTTTTCGTTGTTTCAGCCTTTGCCTTAAATTCCTCCTCTGTCCCTTTAAGTAACAGGATTTCCGGGGTTTGCGTGTAAAAATACCAAAGGCGGGGCTTATTCACCAGCTGAGCGCCTGTCATTTAAGCGATTCGCCGCTTGGATTTCCCTTAACCAATCACCACTTGTAGTTTTTTAAACTATGCAGATTTATTCAAACATACTGTTCTCTGATTGGCCTAAGGATTACCTCAAGAGCCGCCCAGTACACGTGCATTTTCTTCCCTCCTAGTCTTCAGTGCCAAGGATAGCTTTTTGTGCTGGGGCGCCGACAGTTGTTTTATCCATTAGTGTTTAAAATAATACATGACACGAAATTAAAATTTTAAAATAAGACTTTAATAATTACTGTCACGGATGCGTGGTAATTCATTTAGTTATTTTTGTATTTATGCACTGGTTAAATTCACAGTACTGTAGGTAACCCACTTCTTTTCCTTCCATTTGCTCTAAATCAGCTATAGCCATGTTGTCACAGAGCTAAGAATAGCTCAGCAACATGTATCCCCATATTGCCTTGCAGCTGCACTGAACTCCACGCCCATCTACCCAGAGTACACTGGGGCCTGTGCTGTGACGACGATGCAGCCTAAAAGATAAAAAAGACTGCGTTTAAGCTCTGCGCCTGGACTATAGGATACTGAATTTGATGCTCTTGGCTGTTACTTCTTAGTACTTTATCTCTTAGTAATAAACCCAGTGTCTGTTACTGAATAAACTCAAAATTACTAAATTAGTCAATGAGTCATTTGTTCTTATTTGAATTACCACACAATTCTAATCTGTCAAAAAATAATTAATGCACGAGTTTAAAAAACGTGTACCACATAATCACATGTGTTGAGGAAAAGTGGATTACTCCCCTTTGTGCATGGCAAAGAGAAAATGTCCTTTTCCGAGTATCATATCAGCGTTCCTATGTTCTTTAAAAGTTATCTGAACTTTATGCACAGGCACACAATAGAGATGTCTTATTGTTCATATATTACTCTCAGATCCAGCATACACTTGATGGGTATTATGGTGGTAACCACATAACAACTCATGTTATGATACCGTCACAGTGCTCTCTGTTCTGCGTTAATAAAGGTGATATTTAACATTGGTGTATTCGTAATGCATTGCAAGAGGAAGTGCTGCTGTATCAATCATTTGTTCCACTTTTTTTTGAAGTTTCCCATTAACAGAATATTTTTGGTGCATGATTATTTTTAGTTTTGGCTGTGGGACCACAAAGGTGGAGTCATGACAGATTTTTTTAAAAGACATTTATCCAAAAGCGACAAGATTTGCATGCGGTGTCTGCAAACATTTTCCAGTAATTCATTCTCTGAAAAAGGAAATGAAACCTTATTATTTGGTAAAAACGGCTGTTATTATTATGTGTATTATTTTTCACGGTTGCATTGCTTCAAAAAGCACAGTAGTATTCAATCACATACGTTTTCCTGTCACATAAAGACAGAAAAGAACCTTATCATTAAAAATGACAAACTGCACCATGCCTGTGTTAGCTTCATCTTGGCACACAAAGGTGCTTTTTAGTTTAGCTCCTTGCGCCCCCTTCTGTTTACTTGCTGTAACAGTCGTATTGCCCTCAGATCTAAGCATAAGCAAACTGCTGATCAGAAACCAGGACTTGATAAAAGTCTTTACAGTTGATTAAATAAGCACCAGTTGGTTTGAATGTCCTGACCTATACTATAAGTGCAACATGCAGATTATTTTTTTTTATTTTTTTTAAAAAAAAACAGAGCTTACTTTTCTTTAATAAAGAATAGCCAATACTTATAATACAAAATTAATGTCTTTACAGCCATACTTGAAATTTGGGTTTTTGAAAAGATGTTTGAATACAATTACATGTACTGCCATGCATGTACAGGTGTCTTATCAACCTAAACATTTCCAGTCCAGCTCCTTAAACACTCATTATAACCATAAATAACAAGTCACACACTATATACATCACTATCACTTCTCTATTCTCACACGCCATGCTAAATTTTAAGTGTTCAGCTGATCAGTTGTTTTTATCTTCTTTGACCCTTCTGTGCCATGTTCCCTCCTCCTCTTCTGTCTGTGCTTCTGCCCTTCCTCTTGCCTGAACTGGTGCCTGTTGTGGGAAAAACAAAAACATATTCACATGCACTGACAAGAGAAGCTAGTTTACTTGAGTTGAATCTCAAACAACAGGGACAACAAAAAAAAAAACCTATATGGACAAATTTGGCTCAGCAGTAAAGTGCTAAACTGTTTCAGGCTTTTTTTTGCAGCTTTCCTGAGTTTCCACGTGATAAAATACAAAATTACACACTAAATAAAAAATGCAGAAACAAAACTTAGTATTGTCTGACTTGCAGTAAATGGCGTTAGTATTCAAGTCATCTTCTACAGTACAACAATGATAATCCACTGAAGGTCAGCTTTTCCTACATCACCGGTCATTTTGGCATGTGACTGTCATACTTTAAAATGTTTAACGCATCAGCATCTTGCAAACAAGAATCTGGTGGATATTAAACAATATGTTGATCTTCTGTATGAATCTAATCAGGTGGGCTTTATTTCCCTTGTGTTGATGAGATCTTTAACATTTAAAAAGTGATAGCATGATTTCATCCCCATGAAAGCAAATTTAACACAAATATAAACACCGTTGGTACCATAGATTTTAGACACATTCTCCTGTCTCTGTAGTCATTCCTCTGCCCAAACATGTCCCAAAACACCATTTATGGAAACCAGGTGCAATGAAGAGCTTTGTCAACTAACCTGGACTGCCAGCGTCGACCGCTGTTCCACACTCTACCAAAGGAAGGAAGCCAGTTGGCGTCTGTATGTGAGCTGTGATCGAAGTTGGCCCCCACTCTGTTTGGAGGAAGCTTCCTCAGCTTCTCTTGCTCCTCTGGCAAAAGAGAGATGTCATTATACTCCCATTACAGGCAGATTTCTTAACTGGTTTTATACAAGTCTATGTGGATATGTTATTTTTAATTCCTCACACTAACTCCAGCAACAGCAGCTTTATGATTGCAGCTCTAGTGTTTACGAAAATGCTACTTATAAATGACAGTGACGCAACAAATGCTTGACACTGCTACATGTCATTTGATGATAGCATCGTCCTTACTATGTTTGAGGAACTCGTGGAGTGATGGGCCAATCTCTGGCTCTGCAGCAGTTCTGGAGGTCCCTTCTACAGGATCATCTTGGAGCCAAGGAGGGACAGCACCTACAGCACACACAGGTTAAAATGCTTCATCAAGCAAACAAAATAGTTTCATGCAGAAGCTTCAGAAAGGTTGAAAAACACAACAGGAAACCAGTAAACAATGTTTTAGCTTAACAGAAACCAAGGTTTGTCCACTGATACACAATGCAGTCAGGTCAACATCATTAAGCACTTATTTTTAATTCATCATGCAATATGACTAAGCAGATGTCTGATGTACAAGCTTGGGGACAAGATCACAAGATATCATGTCAATATGGACCAAAATGTCTGAGTAATCTTTCCAGCACCTTGTTGAATCTATGCTACCAGTAATTAAGGTACTAGCAAGGAGAATCTAATAATGTTCCCAGTGAGTATATATACTGAATTTATATGTATTAATGTTATAAATAGCAGGAACAGTAAAAGTTCTGCGTAACTCTCAAAAGCAGTTGTTTTGCACAACCACATATATATTTTTTTCACCGCCACCTCAAGTCATACATCACAGTACCTGTATGAACGTTTCCACTGTTCGATGAATCCTGTATGAGAAAAAAAGCGTTCATGTGAGGTCATTGCATTTGTATGCTAAGATAACATTGCGCATATATATATATATATAT